TAGTGTAAGACAAGATAGTTTTGAAGACGATTGAAATTAAGTTGATCCAAAGCAGCGTGGGTGAGTGGATTATATTTATGTCCGTTTGCCGCGTTAAAATAATCTTAATATATATGTGGTCTGTCTCGACTTCTACCTTGAGTGGCTCTTGAAACTTGTATTTGGTGAACATTGGGAACAAGAATACACATTCATACACGCAAACACATATATGCGTATCTATAAATATTCATATATATATATGTATGGGTGTGTGCAAATACATGTATGCATATATTGTATATATGCACTTCTCTCTCTCTCTCTCTCTCTATATATATATATATAGCCATTTTGACAAAATTTTTCATAAGAATCACTGTACAATCATTTGAGTTATTCAGCTAAAAAGAGAGCGGGTTAAAATTGTTTTATGTCAGATACACTGTTTTCCCAATTGAGCAATCAACTTGAATTACCATTAACAGTCGATAAAGTTTGGTTTTTTTTTACATCGAGTTTTTTTCTTTCCAAGGCAGGGGACCACTTAAATTAGAGGGTAACATTTGGTGGCCATTTGTGTGTATAGGAGTGGAAGATAACGGTTAACCCTACCCATTGAACAGATTAAGACTGTAGTGATTGGGGAAACATCCTGTCGCGAATCGGTTCCACAGGGCAGTGGTTCGCTTGAAGAAGCTAGCCCGAGTGGAACTTACTTCTCACCGATGAGATACGGGGTGGGCGGGGGTAAATGAGGGTGGTTTGCTACTATGTAAGCTACATAACGTGTTCTTGCTGTGAAGGTTTGACTCGGCGGGAACAGGGAATGTAGCTCGTCCGAGCACTTTTCGTGGAAGTAGTGGTAGAACAGCGAAAAACTTGCTACATCCCGCCTGTGAGAAAAAGGTTGAAGTGGGGGGAGAATAATTCTTCACCCACAAGGGTTCAAAAGACGCTTTTGAAATTAATCAAGGCCGGAAAGTGAAGTCTAGGCAGCTCTCGACCAAACATGACAGCAGGACTTCATTTTAGGCCTTACCTGTAAAGATAGAGAATAGCAGGAGGAGTCAGGTAAAGTAGTAAGAAGAGTTCAATTATTGTGATCCAATCTATCAGTGAGGCCAGAGATTTGATTTCTGTTGTGGTAAACCCTCCTACAGTAGAATGATTTCTTCCTCCTCTCATAAATACTAACTGCGAGAGTCTGTTGGGGAGCGTAGACGCAGCCTCTGACTGTGTGCGACTTCTGTCGAACTCTCTGCTTTGCAATGCCGAAAGGCAGAGTTTCGTCCGGGGAGGTAGACAGACCCTAAACCCGTTTATACGGGTACTGAGGGAATATTTTTGGCCGAGCCTACGAGCTCGGAGAACCCACGGTAAACTCGGCCTTGTGCCACATACAACCCTCGTGGGGGGGGGCTGTTAAATATAGCGTAGACGCAGTCTCTGACTGTGTGCAACTTCTGTCGAACTCTCTGCTTTGGCAGAGAGGAATCCGGACGAGGCTATGCCGAAGGGCAGAGTTTCGTCCAGGGAGGTAGACAGACCCTGAACCCGTTTATACGGGTTCTAAGGGAAATAATTTTGGCCGAGCCTACGGACTTGGAGAACCCACAGTAAACTCGGCTTTGTGCCACATACAACCCACGTGCGGGAGGGGAGGGCTGTTAAATATAGCGTAGACGCAGTGTTAACCTACCGTTCGGACGTACACCTCTATCTGCTTATTACTAATACTCTTGCTCTGTATATATCTGTTATTTCAATACACTTGTTCAACCTACCTTCGTCTTCCGTGTCTTTCTTTCTGGCCCCTAAACAGGCCACAACAATTTCCAAAATATTAGGATGGGATTACATCCCTATTTCAGTCAAGTTTTTTTTTCCCACCCATTCAGCCAACTGTTTTATTCAAGTCGTTGTCTGTGTTTCCGATAAATGGTAATCAAGCCCGAATTTTTTAACTTCTAACTGGTTTTCAGTTGATCCCTCTGACTAACTTCGTTCGGATAGTTGATATCAGTTATTTATCACATATATAATAGCGTGGATATTAATATCTATTTCTTAATCTGACGTCGCTAAATATCGCTATGGGTTGTAAGAAAAATATAAGCTCAAAAGAAATACTGTAAAATGATTGAGGATAACGTCAGAAATTTCAATAAAAAATAGTTGGACAGAAATCACTTAAAACAATTAAAATAATAACAACTAAAAAAAATGAAAAGTGCTGGCTAGAGAATAACAAGAAAAACTGGCTTTAAGAAAGTCACAAAAAAGAGATTATAGGAAATGAAATGGGTAAAATGAAAGAAAAGTGGATTGACTAGCAAGAAAATATTTGTAAAAGTTGATGCTGTAAACAGAGGGGAAAAACGTCGAAAAATAATGTCTAAAGACAAAAGAGTAGCAAACATCACAAGAAGAAATATTTAAGTAAGGCGAAGAAGTACAAGAAAATTTATTTCTCTCAGATATTTATGGGTGAATGTAGAGCTAAATTGGATGGACGTAATGACTGGACTGGATGTCAGATCCTTCATGGAAATACTCACGACAAAGTAGAGTAAGTCATTTATGTCCCATGCGTGATACACGATTAGGCGATCATGTAGCTTTCGATACATGACTGACGAGGCAGATTTTTTTCCTGCAGTAGGTTGCCATTTCATTCTGTGGTAGACCAGTTACCGCCTTTTAATTCCCCTCACTAAGTTCTCCACTGCCTTAACTGAGTGTTGAACTCACATTCTTTGTGTCCTGTCACTGGATCTAACTAACGTCTTTATCCACTGTGCCATGTGTTCTTGAGGTTCAGTTCTACATTCCAACCACCTGAAGAAGGCCGGAGCGTACAACGGCCGAAACGTTGTGATAAATATGGCGACAAAGATGAGGACAATAGTCCGAATAATGTAAATAGTATACACACATAAATCAAATAGAAAGTTTATGGTCCATCACTATGTAAGAGATGTAAAGAAGAATGGCGAATAATTTACACGTAAATTTTTCTACGAAGTCATTGAAACAGTAGAAAAGATAACAACTTTAATGAATAAAAGACCAATGAGGCTTCTGGAAGGGGGGAGGTCAACAGATCAAAAGACTTAATAAAGAAATCGTATCTCTCCGAAAGAATAGAACAATTATTCTGGTATTTATCCGCGAGACCACTTTATATTCACACACGCCATCCCTACATATTCTTTAAAGATTAAGCATAACAGACTGTCGCACCTGGCTTTTGATCTCAGTTTCCACTTATATTAAAGTCAACACTCAGAGGCGACAGGCTGTTTCATGCTAGACACAATAATCAGACGCAATCGTCAGGCCACCTGATGATTACATCTAGCATGAAACAGCCTGTCGCCTCTGAGTGTTTTCAATGTTCACTTTTATATTTACATACGCTCTATCCCTGATATTCAGATCTTTATCCCATAAATATAGCACATAATAAAACTATATTTCTTCATATATATATATATATATATATATATAAATGAACATAGAAGTCAAAACTTAGAAGCGATAGTCTGTTTCATGCTAGATGCACGATTGTATCTAGCATGAAACAGACTATGTGTTGACTTCTATGTTCACTTTTATATTTACACACGCTCTATCTCTGATATTGAGCACTTTATCCCATAAATATAGAACATCTTAAGACTATATTCCTTCATATATATATATATATATATATATATATATATATATATATATATATAATTACATGAATCAAAAAACAAATATAGAGGATAATGATTTAAATGGCGAGATTACATCTTCGCAAACAATTTCAACAAGGTACACTAACCCCGAAATTGTATATGAATGATATAATCCCTGTTTATAAATTCCAGTTGCATAAGGAATTTATAAACAGGGATCATATCATTATAAATTGAACTGCACCTATAATATATATATATATATATATATATATATATATATATATATATATATATAACCGATACAAATATAGGTAGGTATAATGTTTATAATATTTATAGTATAGGTATAATATTTCCACCACTTGAAAATTGCTTTGGCATGCATGAAACTCGAGTTGTGCAATTAATTAAGATATTATGTATATTTCTTAGTGGCAAGCACTTTTAAATTCTCCGCTATAAAAAAAAAATCAGTAAAATATATATACCATTAGTCCATGCTTAGAATATTGCTGCCACGTGCGGTCCGGTACCCTGCCATTTACCTTGAGCACCTTGATAGAATCCAAAGAAGAAACAGCAATATTACTGGTCCTGGTCTGGTTGTTCGGCTTCAGTCACTTTCCCACCGCCGTAAGGTTGCTTATCTGTGCCTTTTTGATAAGTACCCAGACTTTTTGGATTTAAGCGCAGTACTAGACTGCCGTCGATATCTCATCAATTTACAGTTGAGCTTGCTAGATGTAGCCGTAAGTTATATGCTGGCAGTTTCTTTTACTCGCTTGTGGAATTTCCGGCTCCATGCTTTCCGGCCATCTTGAATCTACAAAAATATAAATGCAATGTCAATCCTGATTATGCTTTCCTCTTTCCGCTCATTATTAATGATTCTGTTCCTAATTTTTCCACACACTGTAACATATATATATATATATATATATATATATATATATATATATATATATATGCATCTCCCGAATGAGTAATAATACCTGTAGGATGAGGGTCGACCAAATTATTAATTCCGAACCCTTCCACCTCGGCCAGGCTGACCCAGGTAAATATAAGTTAAAATGAACAAGTACAGATTTTAATACGACGAGATCTGTCCGAAAAAGGTTTCAATGGCATTTTTGGTTTCCTCCTAATTATATCACAAAAATGCTTTGTTTCTTTTGCTATCTTCATAATTAGAAAATCTAACATATAGCTGAGGGAGAAGAGATATATTCCAAGGGTACTTGCTCGTAAGAGAACCCAAATGAAATTGGAACTCGGCTCTCCGATTAACAATTCGACGCCATTATCCATAATATCGCCCACATATCCAAGCTTACAGCATCTGGTATTCCCAAGCGGTCACCCATCTAAGTACTGACCAAGCTTGACGTTGCTTAACTTCGGTGATTGCACTTGAACCGATGTAAGCAGGTATGCCAGTTAGGAAAACGTCTGGACAGGATATCGTAGGACTCAGTAGCTTGGTTTCATAAACTTTTCAGGTGTATTTTTCCTGAGGACAAAATTTGCTGCTGACGCAATCGAAAGTAGCGGGGAAAATGGACTCGCAATATCTGATAAGTATTATAATGGCAAACATAAGAATCCTTCTTTATGTTCACTCGGGACGTTGGCGATCATCGCTCTGCACAACTTCCTTGTCCTTTGTAGCTCCCAACAAATTTTGCCTCTTTGCTATTTCTCCTAAACCCTGTTCCGTCATTTATTTACGCTCAGCTATGCGCTGTTTTCCTCTTCCCCTCTTCTTGTCAGTCTCTCCCGTGAATATCAGTTTTTTTATGCTCTCCTTCTTCATTATGTGTTCTAGAAATTTCAACTGTCTCTTCGTGGTGTTAAATATGAGTTTCCTAATCGTTGTCCATATGTTCGGTCCATCTTATCCTCAGCATTTTCCTGTAGAACCACATTTCTGTGTCTTCAAGTCTCTTCTTCGTCTTTTAGGAGATTGTCCAGCATTACACTGCCATACAGGAGGACAGATATCGCGTAACATTTCAGTATTCTTTTCTTTGTTTCTAACAAAATTATTCTGTCTCTTAATACTCTGCTTAGCTTCTAGAATTCTTCTTTAGTTATCTCAATATTTCTTCAGATCTCAAGTGTTCCTCTTCCCAGATATTTAAATTTTTGTACTCGTTTGATTTTAGTATCCCTGATTTGTAATTTGCATTTTGTGCTCTTCCTTTTACTGACAACCATGTATTCTGTTAATGTGTTTAAATCCCATATTAATGACCTTTCACCTGTATGTATGTGTGTGTGTGCGCGCGCGCGCGTGTGTGTGTGTGTGTGTGTGTTGTCCCCCTATATATATGAATTGGTAATTAAAAAATTGCTCTCATTGTCCAAAGATAAATTATGAAACACGTTGCATAACGATAAAAAGGAATTTATTGTATACGACAAATACTTATTTTTCAGCATAATGTCCTTCCTTGTCCATGCACTTAATCCAGTGCTTCTATGTTTATCACAGGGATAAATATCACAAAGATATTCAGTGAAAATTTAGGATCAAAATTCAGCTAATAATTACCTTTAGAGCTACGGATTTATTGATCTAGTCTCTTTTCATTGCAGTGAATGAAATTTTAAATGATTTATTTTAAAAATCCTACCTCCAATATAACAGGTACATGAACGTATAGAATAAAGGTAGTATTTAGTATTTTGTGGGATTGTTTGGAATGTATTGACTTTTTTAGATGAGAAATGTTTAAAGTTGTATCTTTATGTTTTCATTCATTTATTTATTTATTTATTATTATTATTATTATTATTATTATTATTATTATTATTATTTTGCAGAAATCAGCAGAGATCATCCTGTAGACAATGATGAATCTCTTTGAGTTTTTTTGTTTTGTTTTTTTTTTTTTTCCAGCAGTCAAAATTGCTGTCATTTCCAGATTATAACACATTCTTCATTCCTTGACAATAAATCTAATGTTTCCGGATATATTTATGACATATTAATGTTAAACTTGTTCGCCTTGCTGTCATGATGAAATAAATTTTAAATCAGTGATTGTCACCGAATATTGATGTTAAGTTTACGTGTCGAAACGATGATAACCGCTGATTTTTTTTTAAATGTTATTCTGCCTGTCATAAATCTCGCGAAAATTTAAATACGCAATCAAATTCCATTTGTTAAGTACTTACATCTTTTCTAAATATAAATTTACAAAATGAACTTAAAATTTTATTTATGTACGAAAAATAATCATTGTAAACAAAACTCTCACGACAGGCTAAGTGGCACGCGAAAAGAGTCGGTTAACGATCGTGCTCCCTTAGGCGACCTTCGTGGAAACATATATATATGATAAAACATGTTAAAAATCGCTACATAATGGCAATTATTTTCAACACTACAAATGTGTCTCCTCGGGTGATGTTAAACTACAATATCAGGCCACGACAATTGCATCTGTTTCATGCTAGATGCAATTGTCGTGGCCTGACGATTGTAGCTAGCATGAAACAGACTGTCGCCATCTAAGTGTTGACTTCTATGTTCACTTTTATATTTGTACACGCTCTATCTCTGATAGTAAGCACTTTATCCCATAAATATAACACATCTTAAGACTATATTTCTTCATACATACATACATACATATATATATATATATATATATATATATATATATATATATTGTCATTTTAGTCCGATGCAGTCACTAAAGACAAAACCCGTCACACAAAATATTTTGCAATTTGTTTTATATACACACACACACACACACACACACACACACACACACACATATATATATATATATATATATATATATATATATGACGTCGCACATTATGAAATGGACAAAGTCCGACAATTATTTTTTAAGTCATTTTTTTATACACTCTTTTTATAGATACAAACATTTAAGTAAATGCTCTGTTTATAATAAACAGTATTAACAACATTTACCGGCCTGAATGCCTGAGAAATTTTCATAGAAAATATGCGTCCTCCGACAGAAATCGAACATGTATCTTATATGGAACCGTCATATAGCCTGACGTGTCTTAACCGATTGGGCCACAGAGGATCGTTTTGCTAGCAATGTCGATTTTACTGTTTTTCAACACAATTTTCTATGATTTTCCCCCAAATCCGTTAAGTTTTTCAGGTGCTGACATAACTGGGCCACAAATGGAAAATTTCAGAAAGCAACATAGCTACCCTGATCATGATTATTGCAGCATTACAAATAAAATGCTGATTTTTTTTCAGTTTTCATTACTTTTAACTGTAATCAGAAACCATTTTTTGTTTTTATACAAATACAGTACATGTGTATATTTTAACATTTTAATAAAAGCATGACATCGTTGGGGGAGACTGATAACCTCCCCCTTCTCACGCTAACAGGGATTTCATCGATGATGTACACTCTCCCTTCAGTTTTTCACACCTCATTTAGAAGTAGTGTTTGGTGTTGTTTTATATATTTTTGTAAGTAGTTATCATGTAATTTTTACACAAACAAAAAGTACATTAATTTCACGTGAAATCTTAATTTCAACACTTAAAAATCCGTGGGAGAATTACATGACTAAGGTCATTACCTGTATTTGTATGTACACAAAATTTATTAAATTTGATATAAAACAACTTTCAGGGTATAGGTTATTTATATGAACCTACCTTCAGCGTATATGTATAAGTTGTGTTATGAAATGTAAAGGAATATCGTGTTTATGCTTGAGGCCAATTCCCAAGCTGACACATTTTATAGAAGCTATATACAAATTAAATAGCCAAAGTTACAAAAAATCTGAAAACTGAAGAATTTTGGACAAAAGTTTCTCAACCTGTATATATATATATATATATATATATATATATATATATACAGTTTAATAATATATATATATATATATATATATATATACTATTGTCCTCATCTTTGTCGCCATATTTATAACAGTATTTCGGCCGTTGTACGCTCCGGCCTTCTTCAGGTGGTTGAAATGTCGAACCGAACCCTTTATTTCGCTCACTGGAGTAGACTGTTCTAGTTCCACGTGCCATTATTTAATGGATGTCAGTTATCTCCTGTTAATACCCCTCTCCAAGTTATACACTGCCTTAAACGGGTATTGAACTCACACTCTTTGGATGCTGTCACTGGATCTAACCAACACCTTTATTCACTTTGCCATGTGTCCTTGAGGACATCTGTGTTTGAATTTCTGGGTATTATAAACCTAATGTCTTCAGCAATCAATTTTTTACTAGTGCTCATATTGCAATTTTTGCTGTTATCAATTAATGTATTTACCAGAGCTCATATTGCAATTTTTGTTGTTGTTATTGCATTTCTCTGACACTCCTTATTACTGGTTCCCATATTGTATTCATTTCTATGCTTGGTCGGCTCAGGAGATTTTAGTGGCCTAGAATATGTGCTGATTCCCCAGTGAGCGAAATAAAGTGTTCAGTTCGACATTCCAACCACCTGAAGAAGGCCGGAGCGTACAACGGCTGAAACGTTGTAATAAATATGGCGACAAAGATGAGGACAATAGTCCGAATAGTGTAACTAATGTACATAATACCTCATCTCTGAAATAAAAACATATATATGTGTGTGTGTGTATGTGTGTGTGTGTGTGAAAAGTGTGTGTATATAAATATATATATATATATATATATATATTTATATATAATTATTTATATATTATATGCGTGGTATTTATTAGAAAGCACTCAATATTGATAATATTAGTGGTTAATACACACACACATATATATATAAAATTATATAAATATATATGCAGACATACATTCACATCCATATATATGTAAAGAGGATAGAATCCAGGTAGAACTCAATGTCCATGACATAGTAAGAATATAATAAAAACGTTTAAACACTAATATTCCATGGTTATAATTTATTGTATTGGAATCATAATTACGATCCCATTCATCAGTCCTACAAACTTTTAGGTCTGATGAATGGGGATCTTAATTACGATTCCAATATAATAAATTATAACCATGGAATATTAGTGTTTAAACTTTTTATTATACACACACACACACATATATATATATATATATATATATATATATATATATATATATATTGATGGATTATTTCACAATTAAATTTTAACATTAGATATCTAATATCGATTCAATTTTACACAAAAAATTTTCTGGGTGGGGGATTTATGTGCAGCCAAATACAAATCTATACTATATGCCAATTTTGAATCTAGTAATTGGCTCCTGTTATGCTTTTTGTATTTTGTTTTATAAATTGTTTTGCTAATTTCAATTACATTTTTTCTACTTAATAGAATTGCAAAATTTATCCTTGATTCGATTTAAATGTAGTTACAATCTATAATACATATTATATATTGTAGGTGGATAGTTATTTAA